AGTGAGTCAGTGAGTGAGTGACTGAGGGACTGAGTGAGTCAGTGAGTGAGTGACTGGTGACTGAGTGAGTCAGTGAGTGAGTGACTGGTGACTGAGTGAGTCAGTGAGTGAGTGACTGAATGACTGAGTGAGTCAGTGAGTGAGTGACTGCGTGCGTGCATACGTGCGGCTGCGGTGTGGGGTGTGGGGTGTGGGGTGTGAGGGCGACACGGCTAGGGAGAGTGCTATGTGAAGGCAGCAGGAAGGCGAGGCCGGACTAGTCCTAGGCGCTAGCTAGGATAGGGCTGGGGCTAGGGCCAGGCCTAGGCTTAGGCCTCGGCCTGACTAGGACTGGGGGCTGGGGGCTGAGGGCTGGGCGAGGGCGAGGGCGGGTGGGTGAGTGAGTGGCTGACTGAGTGAGTGCGTCAGAGAGAGACAGAGAGACAGAGAGGGAAAGGGCGAGAAGAGACGGCGGGCGCACTGGAGGAGGAATGCTTCACTCCTGGAATCTATCGTCGTTCCTAGAGAGGAGATTTAGTAGCTGATTTCCGGCTCTTCAAGCACGGAAGGCGAAAGTCCGCCCACCTGGAGTTGCCAGAACCGGCGACTGCTCCCTCTGAGCACTCACATCGGCTCTCTTCCAGGTGAATCCGTGCTCAAGGGACAAGAGAGGACGCCGGCGTGGCTGCCGATCGCAGCAAAACAGGTGCTGGCGGAAACGGTGACTAAAACAATGGTCTCATATGTACAGGGTGATTGTCAAGAAAAGACTCGGACCTCAGACCATTTGGAAGGCCAAGCCGAGGCACTCAAAGGCTTCCCAGTCTTTTGACCTACAACTCCCCACCCACAACGGCAAGTCCTGACGTAAAGTCCCTGTGACAAGCCATTCTGATACAAGAATTTCTCGCTGACATTGGTCTGCGCAATTACAAACAAGTTCACATCGTAGCATTCCGATCTGCAGGGCTAGGCTCGGATATGCTGGCAAACCTGAGAGGCCTGAATTTCGGTGTCAGTGGTGACACCACATCTGCAGCCTCAGGGCACCATGACCTGAGTGGTTTTGCATAACCGGTGCTTGCCCCTAGCAGCATATATTTCGTGAAAAAGCACATCTCGTTCGACGGGCAAATCAAAGACTAGTGCTGATCGTCAGCAATGGGTCTTGGCTTCCTGCTGTTGCTTCAATGAACCGACGTCGATAGACCTGTGGCTGGCAGCTGCATTCCACAAGCAGGCCCATGGCACGTCTTGCTCGGATAACAGATCGAGCCTGGAGGATTCACAAGCGAGACGTGGTGAAACGATGTGATGCATGCCCTGCATTGACGCATGTCTGAAGAAGTTCGAGGTCGAGGCCGTTGGAAGGCTCGGGACGCTCGGCGACTTTCGGGACCTTAACAAGAGTCGCATGGTTGTAACGTTGAGGAACCTATGCAATTTCAACACCGGCCAATGATATGGTCTCACTTCCTGGGATATCTGCGCGGATTTTTTGGGGGTATCTGCTCTTTTTCTCACACTTTCGCGTGTGGGGCAGAGAGAGAGCGCCATCTCATCGTTGGCGTTCATCCTTTTACTGCTCAGGGTTTTCAGGGTTGAATGTGCGTAGGATTCAGTTGAGTTTCTGTGGGGTGTCGGGCGTGGGCTTTTGATCTCACTTCTCCGGCAAGCCCAACAGACACAGGCGGAATTCAAAACCAAAGGCACGGATAGCACAACAAAAGGCACAGGCCACATGCGTTCCGCACATAATCTGTACATGTAATGAAACAGACAGACACATGGATAGAGAGATAGCTAGATAGCTGGAGAGACAGATAGATAGATTGATTGACGGATCGATGGATAAGTGGACTGAGATGGAGAGAGATGAATAAAATTGATAGATTCGGATAGATAATAGGTAGATAGGTAGGTAAGTGGGTGGGTGGGTAGGTAGGTAGGTAGGTAGATAGAGATGGATGGGTAGGTAGACTGATAGAAAGTAGATTTATAGACTGGTAGATTGATAGAAACCAAAGATAAATGCAAGGATGGATGGATAGATGGACGGATGGAGAGATAGAGACGGAGTTAGAGACAGAGACAGAGAGACAAAGATAGAGATACGTACGGAGACAGAGATGGAGACAGAAATAGACGCAAAGATAAAGGTATAGACGGAGTAGAGATACAGATACAGATTCAACGGCGGAGCAAGAAATGGAGACGAAGATTGCTCAAGGAGCTGAAACGGACAGAAAAGACAATAAACAGGCAGGTTACATGCCTTCCCCTCGCTAGATCACCCGGTGCTCGTATGCACACAAGTTGGTTTAACGATGCTCCGGCACATGACAGCACCTTTGTCTACAGTTGAGAACCTCTTGCACCGGACAGCCTGAAGATTGACACACTGCCGGGCTCCTAGCTCCTCCCAAATGACGGCCTTGCCCAGGTCCAGCCGGACCTGCTAGAAGGCCCAAGGCATAGATGATCGGATCTGTGCAGGCTAGCGCAAGGAAGGACGAAAGGGCGTTGCGACACACTATAATTAATATACCAGAACTCTTTCCTCAGCACGCAACTTGATTGGGATCGATGTGTATCTGCTTCTGGAGGAGGTGCCGCGCCGTCACAAACTGGGCAAGCAAGCGGTGCAATGAAAAGAGGATGGGATACGGTCTGACAGTGCCATACAATGCCCAAAACCTGAGCTGACAGCTTGGCTCTCATCTGGCCGACCCTTTGTGCCAGGGAGGCGATTCAGTGAGTGCTTGGCGCCATCTGGTGTGACCTGTGAAATGCAAAGTGATCCGGCTGGTTTCCCAACTTTCGACGTGGCTGTGGCACCGGGGAAAAGACGTATGCAACCTGCACAAGGACCTTGTCAGACGGGCTCACCTCAGCACATCATGGACTCAAACCGTGCCAGAATATCACAGAATTTACGATTTGTCGACTATTCAGAACACGGTGGCATCATCCTTTTCTCACCACGCTACATCAGGTCGCATTCACCCTCTCGGGTCGGAGCAACAACCAAGTGGACCTGGTCGACAACCCTGACAACCTGCTAGCCGGGAAAGTGCCGTGCAGGACTGTGCAGAGACAAGCAACTTGGAGAATCGAGCCCCACCTTTCCCGAAGAATCGATCAGCAACGAAGACCTTGTTTGCTGTATAGAGATATTAATGGCTCAGCCGCTCGGCAAAATCTGTCAACTGATTGGTTCTTTTTGCAATCACTTCAAGGTCCAGGCTGGCCAGAAGTCAGCTCACGGGAAAGCTCCTTCAATGACCTCAACAGCCAATGCGGTGCGGTAGTCAATACAACTCTGAGTATGCCGCATGCTGCACCACCGCTACAGCTGCTGAGCCGCAGGCTTCGCACAGCCTGTCCCGAAACCTGGATGGCCGGAGATCTTCAGACCAAATAATGCAAAAGCGGGTTCGTTAACCCTCGTTGACTGGGAAACTATTGACTGACGCCGACGTTAAGGCCGAAGCTCTCCGTGTCGATGTTATGGCTGGCCAGGTATGCGACTAAATCCTGGAGATGATAGGCAGATTCGTGGAAACCGTTGCTCCGGAACTCAATCACGGTGAAATTACAGTCCTCTTCGTTGAAGCCTACCGGAGGCATGACGAGACCACTGACCTGTGCTCTGGTGCACGTTTCTGGGCCGGCATTGTCCGTCTTGCAGAAGCTAAGCCTCTTCGCTACCTTCTGCCATCAGCTTGACCTGCAAACAAGACTTGGAAGTTCGTGGTACGAGTACCGGTGGCCGAATTTCATGTGCCTTCTTCTTGTGAGCTTCAACCTCTGTCATCCAGGCAAAAGACTTCAGGTTGCCCTTGTGATCCTGCGATCGCAAAATACTGCACAATCCGATTGCGGCCGAAGCCATTTTAAGTTTACTGGCTGGGTTGTTTCAAGATGAGCTCCCGAAGTTCGGCCATTCTGTAAGCCGCGAGATCGGAACACCAGACATCCTTCCCACACTTGTATGCTGACGGCCAGCTTGCCCGCTGCTTGGAGGCAGCAGCTCCTTTTTGACATACCGACGCTTCACCGCAACCCGTCCCGCGATTATGAATAGCTTTTGGCAGTTTTGGTTCTCTGCATGTAGATATCACTTCAACGACCCGAGATAGCCCGCAAAAGGCTGCACACGCTATTGCTTAACCTTCTCCTTGCCCACGATATTTGGATCAGTAGCTGGATCACGCAAGGGTTTGTAACCGCAGAGCTTTCCTACTCTGCAACGTTATGGCGAGGTCATGGTGTAGAAGCTCTGCAGAATTGTAGAACAAACCGCGACCAGACACACTCACTGCTCTGACGCCGCTGCTTGGTGGCTGGGCGTTGGTAGCCGCACTTCGCTCACGTGATGCGTCGCCCTCTGGCACACTAGGACTAGGCAAGCAGAGGCTCAGCCGGTGAGGGACGAAGAGGAGAGAGGATTAGTGAACAGCTTTGTGGCACGGTCAATTTTCGGCAGTTTGGTGCAGATCATGCAGGCTGCAAGAAGCAACTGCGACTGGTTGCTTCGCAACAAGTTGCAGCACTCAATGCGACAGCTTGAATGGTAAAGGCGTGACGTGTGACCTGTACAACGTGTACGCGTCCGCCCAGATGTGGCTTCCGACATGCAACACAAGAGGCCCGTCTTGCTCTGAAGAGAGGCCAAGCCAAGTACTGGAACATGTGCGTGTTGATGGTAAAAATCAAGTTCACGACCATGCACACAATTCCTGTCAAAAGCCTGACACTTCCCAAAGAAAAGACACAAGTTCCAGCTACCGGCTGCCATTATCATTGCATTATCAAACTATCCGGCAGGAGGGTTTCAGCCGTCCTACCACTGAACTAGTATGGAACTTACTACAACTCACACGTCTCAGATGATCTGCGATACCTGGGACCACCTTCTCGCCTAGACTCGAGCCTAGACGTGAAGCATTAGACTCGTTAGACAGCTGAGATTAGCCTGCCACACCTTATTCGAGATTGCAAGCCTCCATCGCGAGGTGCTTAGTCTCGAATCAACTTCAACAGACTCGGCCGAACACAAAGCAGCGACTTGTGAGAATTACCCCGACAACGGACCGAGTTCCTGAAGAGTAGAAATCGTGTATCAGGCTGTCGCGCTTTGCGTTGTCTTGCGACGGTTCCCTTCCTCCAAACCGCTCTGCCCTTCCGTCTGCCCTTCAGATGGCACCAGCCGCCTCGCTTCAAAGAGAACTGCGCAGCGCCTGCCCCTGCCCAAGCCGCCAAGCACAGCGCCTTTGCGCGAGCGCCCGCGCAAAGGCACGGTTCCAGTTTAGCGGTCACGAGTCTCCTTCCACGCAGAATCTGCCGAAGGGACTTCTACAAGAATCTACAACTACGTCAGTCCTTGACGGTTATTGCACCTGCCATTGACAAAGGAGCCCTCTTTCGATACTTCTTCCTCGGGGTGGCAGCTGCCACACCGCTGACCAAGGAGCCACAAGCATCAACAATGCCACCAGCAGGCGTAGCTATGTTTTCCTAGTTGCACCTGAGCCCGCCACACATCCACAGGCCGCTGGGGCGAGCAGCTCCGTCTTGTTTCCTGAGCACCACCATGCAACTCAACACCCAGAGACTTGGCGTGTTCACACTTGCTTTCCGGATCCACGCACAAAACTTGGTGATAGGTTCATCCGAAGCCTGTCGCGCCAAGATAGCAGGGTTTCAGTACGAGCTCCAGCTCCTGATACCTCCTCTCATAACAATGCGCGATTCAATCCAACATTGGACTCTACATTACATAATATTACATACACTGGATCGACCATGAAGCCCGACAACCGTCGACAGAGAGTGACGTCTTGACGATGCAGTGTGGCTATCCAAGGCCCTTACCAGGTCTCCCGAGTAGCCATGGCTGCCGATAGAGTGGTCTTAGGAACGCACGGCACGAACATCAGGCGCTTGGCATCACTGCCTCATGCAACCAGCCTCTGCTCACTGCGTCGAGCTCATGATGGCTCGAAGCGCCTCTCGCGATTCAACGATGCCAGGGGGTCTCTTCGGCTTCAGCCGTCACACGTGATTCGCACGGTCACGAACTTCTCTCCGGTGCCTAGGCTCGGCCCACGGCTAAGCGCGTCCCCGGAATATGGCGTGAACTGCTTACCTGCGTGCGGCAGCGGTGTTAAAAGCTCGGGGGCGCATGGCTAGCCCTCGACAGGCAACCCTGGGCGTCGCTATGCGTCGCTGAACATTGCTGAACCCTTTGAGCATTAGTAGCTCCCCCGTCTCTTCCTCGCCTTCCATGCTGCGGCTCGGGCGGAGGGCATCGACCTGCGGCTAATCCAACAGCACACACGCCACTGGAGCAGCAAGCTCTGGTGCCTCTAGCCGGTCCAAGATATCCATGTCCGCAGAGGGCTGTTTTGCATGCCTCACCGTCATGCAAACCGCTACTTGCCTGGACCTGACGGACAACAGCAGCCTGTCGGATGCGCCATGAGCTATCTTCGTGCGGCTCGTGTGCGGACCCATGTCAGCTACCCTCTGCTTCCAGCATGTCAGAGAAGCCCGACCACAAGAAGGCTTTCACAACTATTTTGGACCCGGTGCTGATCACGAATGCTCGCAAGCAATCTCGCGTGGCATGACACGGGTGGCAAGAGTGACAAGCATAGCAAGCAAGCAAGCAAGCAAGCAAGCAAGCAAGCAAGCAAGCAAGTAAGCGAGATGTGCACTTTATTCGCGATGTTGCCCTGGTGCCACTATTGGCTTCTCGAGGCAGTGTGACTTAAAGGCTAGACGGCTAGACTCTAGACTCTGGACGCAAGCACAAGTGATGCCAGAACATTTCTGTGCCGCCTTGAGGTGCTCCTCGCCTTTCCACCTGGTCGTTCAGACCTGGTCCAATTTCTTCGCTATCATGCTCGCAAGCTCGGGGCTCCACCGAGTCTTGACTGGATTTGGATTCAGACCGGCCATCCGTCCGCTGACCCGGTCGCGACCTGCCACCGCCCAGCAAGGAGTCACAGATGCGAGAGGGTCTCGGACCCACGATGCACCACAGAACTGAAATCGAAGGAAAGGCATGGCTGAGCAATGCCGAACACCTGCTTCGCTGCGTTGGCTTTTCATCTGGCGGATGGCTGGAGACCTGTACAGATCATCATCAGCTGCACTTCCAGATCGAAGCGTCGCTACTAGCACTTGGCACACACTCTGACAAGAAATCTCTGGGCGGTCAGCCTCGGAGTGGCGATCCTCTGCATCACCTGCAGATCTTGCGAGAATGACTGGCGACACTAATCGAAAAATTTTCGGCCATGCAGCTGTCCATGAGCCTTCCTGAGTAGCGAGCACGGATAGAGCGTAGCTGCACTAGCAGTCACTAGCAGTCACTAGCATGACAAATGGGTGTGGCCAGCCCAAGATCCTGTCAGAAGCCAGACAAGGGCATTTCCCCAACCGTGACCGCAGCCCCCCCAAGGCAAGGACGACGGCGTGATGAAGCGCGAGACTTTGCAGGTCTGAGCAATGCAAAGCTTGAGTCAAATCACAAGGTGTTGCCGTGCCAGTCCTGCAATACTGGCAAACATGCCGGGACTTTGGGCGCAGCGCGCAACGGTTGAAATCCACGACACTGCTGCACTTCGAAGGCACGACTTTGGCTCCCCACCCAGCCTGGTGCTTGTGCTTGCCTGTCGCGGGACAGGTAAAGCTGTATGTTGCCAACTGCCGACCCTCGAGAAGGCTGAGCCTGCTCCAACGTCGCTCTCCAGGCCGCATGCACGCGCTCCTGAACTTGCTTGACAAGAAACGGAAGAGAGTGAGGGAGGGGAGGGAGGGAGCGATCTACAGAGACACACTGATTCGTTGCTGCGACTGGCCACGAGAACGGCTCCCACAAAGGCCTCCACCAAGGAGTAGTCACAGTTGCCGGAGTTAACCTGGCTGAGCACATCATTGGCGGGTTGAGTACCGAGACAGACCAAGAAATACTTGGCCACGGCATGAAAGGTCAAGTGATGCTCCGATTGACCAGCCAAACCGACACGTTGCGAGCGGCATCAGCCATGTCCTCCCAGCCACGGGCCCACATGAGATCAAAAAGCATGGCACAAGCAAGCTTGCCCCGAGCACTCTGTGGAGTTCGATAGTGCTGACTTCAGTGTGATAGCACGACTTTCCTGACACGAAGAGATTTCAGCCCCGAATCCTGAAGCACCATGGATGGTTCTCCATCCGCATTCTGCCAGCTGTCGAGCAGAAGATCGAGCTCTTCATTGAAGTCACCTTCACCGGGAGCGTCGTGTACAATTCGAGCGCTCCAGGATCCACATCTCTGAGCAGTGCAGAGCTGTATGCTCGACAAGTGATATCCGCTGCTAGCTTGACTTGAAGCCACGCACGGGCGCCGATCTCGACAAAACCTGCGGTGGACAAGGCCTTTGGTCTTCAAGAGCCGCTTGATGTTGCTCAACAGCTCTTCGCCTCTTCGGCCCACCTGCACCACGACTTGCCCAGGACATGTTTACCAAGCTTGCTGCGTAGGGTCTCCTTGCATCACAAAGCGCCAACATCCGTTTCATCAGAGAGGCACTATAATCGTGCTACAGTGGATGATCAGGCTGCCAAATTGTCTGAACACAGCTTCAAGTCCCCTTGGATACTAAACTGGGAACCGAAACGACTTCAAGTCTCCATCCAGCCCAGTCCTGAGGTAACGCTTCCAAACGAGAGAATGGGACAGCTCCCTCAGACTGGATGCAATCTCGGACCATGAGTAGTGCGACATAGTGGGACTCATCTTTTTCACCAGGAGGGACTCAGGCCTGATACGACCCCGCCTAAACCAGCACCCCAACACACATTTCTCGTGCTCGCGCTCCCTCCCGCTCTCACTTTTCTTGCTCCATTGCTTGCTCACCGTGTGCACGAGGCGATACGTGAGGGTTCGTCGGCTTGTCAGCGTGAAACCCTCTCAAGACCAGCGGTGCTGCAATTTCGGGAAACAAGGGGACATTACTGCACCCTTCTTCCAGACATGGAGAGCGCAAGCCCGCCCGAACTCAAACCTGCACTTGTTGCCTCTCTCTCTCTCTCTCTCTCTTTCTTTCACCAGGCTTGAGTCCCCCTGACCCGCGCTCCAGGCGCTCC